CTTCCTATAAGCCCTACTATCCAGGCTCTCATTTCGAAGTAACCCTACGACCCAGGTTCCTTCTCATAGCCCTACTATCCAGGCTCTTATTTCGAAGTAACTCTACAACCTAGGTTCTTTCTCATAGACCTACTATCCAGGCTCTCATTTCGAAGTAACCCTACGACCCATGTTCCTTCTCATAGCCATACTATCCAGGCTCTCATTTTGAAGTAATCCTACGACCCAGGTTCCTTCTCATAGCCCTACTATCCAGGATCTCATTTCAAAGTAACCCTACGACCCAGGTTCCTTCTCATAGCCCTACTATCTAGGCTCTCATTTCGAAGTAACCCTATGACCCAGGTTCCTTCTCATAGCCCTACTATCCGGGCTCTCATTTCGAAGTAACCCTACGACCCAGGTTCCTTCTCATAGCCCTACTACCCAAGCTCTCATTTTGAAGTAACCCTACGACCCAGGTTCCTTCTCATATCCCTACTATCCAGGCTCTCATTTCGAAGTAACCCTACGACCCAGGTTCCTTCTCATAGCCCTACTATCCAGGATCTCATTTCGAAGTAACCCTACGACCCAGGTTCCTTATCATAGCCCTACTATCTAGGCTCTTATTTCGAAGTAACCCTACAACCCAGGTACCTTCTCATAGCCATACTATCCAGGCTCTCATTTCGAAGTAACCCTACGAATCAGGTTCCTTCTCATAGACCTACCATCTAGGATTTCGTTTCGAAGTAACCCTACGACCCAGGTTCCTTCTCTCTTATCTCCAGATAACAGTTTACAACACTGCAAGACCTGGACCCGACCAGAATCGATCAATCTCACGTTTCCCCAATAAGCTGCTGTGCAACCTGGACCCTAACCAATTAGGCAGTATGCTTCCACCTCCTCAATCAAGAGTTAATTCCCCAGTAGAGTAATGGACAACCGAAGCTCCTATACTCTATTTCCCCAAACATAAATCAACATTCTCCAGCGAAGTCCTCCTCAACGACAGGTACAGGAATTCTCGCAAAGGAATCTCTTATGCAACCGATATCTTTTCTGGATGGCATCTTTAAGCCCATCTCCGACGACATTTCTTCATATTCTTCCAAATGGAATCTGTAAGCCCATTCCCGATATTACCTACACTACCAGTATCATTTCAGATGAGTGCAAATTTCAGGGCACTCTAGTGTTCAATCATCTTCCACCTTTAGATCATGAAAAGAAAAGCTTTGAAACCTTGCTAAAATTCCAGGAATCTGAAGCTGCAAATACAAATACAAATACAAAACCTGCTAGTTTTTGATTTTTGTATTCAAACTCCAATTTCCCTCAAGTGTTTCTTGACCAAATCATCCATACAACTTCTGATATACATTTAGAAGCTATCCTAACTTCTGTTTTCAGACTGTAACACGTTCTCCATCAGTCTCCACCTAAAAAAATCAGAATTTTGCTTCTTGGCTGTTCCAGAATTTTCCTGCCATTCATAGCCCGAGTTAAAGATTGTTCCAACCTGCTGAGCACGTGAGGAAGCTGATCAGAACATTACAAGCAGTCAGAACCAGGCTCTAGTCCATAGAACCTTTTACAGCTGCAAGGTAAGCTTCTGCTAACTCTCATCATATCACTTAGGCATTATTAAACTTGCATGTCCAAAATACAATGTAGACATCCTGATTTTGATGCTGTACATATTCTGAGGTGTCATGTATTTTCTGCCTAATTAGGGAGAATATCAGTTCAGAACTTCTTAAAGGAAATTAGGATTAGCAGATACATGTTTGTTTCTGATTTACAGTCCTAATATTTTTATGTTTCTGAAATCATGATGGAAACCTACCATAACTATTGTGTTTGCATTTTCTGTTTTGTTGAGAAATGATTAAATTGCAGATGTTCTGATTAGCACGAGAAGGGAGATGAAGCTCATCATCAGAGCTTACCTTGTATTACATGTTTATGTTTTTGCTTTTAATCCTGGATGTATAGCCACCCCAATGGTAGATAGCATGTGCATAAGACGTTAGTGTTGAGGGTCCTGAGTTCTAGCCCCAAAAACAACTTTTTTTATATTTTTATTTCCTGACTTTTTACCCCATTAATTGGACCAGAACTTCTAGATCAATCCCTTTAATTGCTTATCAAAACATTGATCCTGGACCAGAATTTCTAGACATTCACACTCAACAACATTGACACTTCACATACCCATCATCAAAATTTCTAGCCTGCCAACGACCCTAGAATTTCTAGGTTTCCAGCCACAACCAAAACTTCCAAACTCTCAACTACCAGAACTTCTGACCTTCCAGTAACATTAGAATTTCTAGGCTTCCAGTTGCATCAGAACTTCTAGGGTTTTCCTTGTTCCCAGCAACCCCAAAATTTTAGTGTGCCCGGACCAGAACTTGTGACCGTCCCTTTTTCTGCTAAAATTTTTCTTCTGACTTGCATCGCACCAGAGTCATAGCTTCTTACTTCAGCCATGCGCTAATTCTGAGTCCTTTTCCTCTTATTATTTTTACCATCATTTTATTCTCATTAACCAAAAACACTCAAAAAGATTATTTATATACTTCATTTTTATCTCTTTCAAAACCAAAAGATGAAAAACATTTTCTTAGGAAAATCTATTTCTTTTTATTTTAACAAAAACAAGTCCATTTTACATTTCTTGTACATTATTTCAATATGATTGTAATAGATAATTAGGACTTTAATTTCTTGTGATCCCCATTTGTAAATTTGTACACCCCTTCCCCCTAATGATATAATAGCGTAGGACTTTACTTTTCCATAATTTATCGCTTTTATATAAATGTTAGTAATTAGGGTATGTATGGAAAGACATGAAATCAACAAATAGATAATCCTAATCAAGATTAAATGCATGTAAATCAAACACACTTGCACCCTTAGGGTAATCCCATTTTGTTGCCTATCGGAAAATAGTCATGTCCCTCGAATATGGGCGTTTTAGCAAAGACCCTCGATAAAAGATCGTAGTCCCTCGATGACCCTCAATATTACCTTCGGTAGACGATCTAGTCCTTAAACGACATTGATAAAACGTCCCATAAGTTGCCTTCTATGACTATACAAACGTCCCACGCCCGTCCCTTCACATCCAACGATGAGGCTTCTTACCAAATCAATGGTAAGATAGCAATATCAAAGGAAGGAAGAAATGAACAAAGACTTTTGAGTAGGTAGATTGTTCTTAGTTGCTTGCTCACTTTCCAATCAAACATCCTTGCTTATTTTCAAAACAAACACCAACACTTCCAAAACACTTTCCAAACATGAAATATTTTCAAAAGCTCAACACTTTGTATACGTTCTTACGAACGAGAACTATTACAAAGTTTGCCTAAACGAAGGCGTCTTTTCAAAATACTTTCAAAAAACACACAAAGCACATTTTCAAACAAAAGCAAGTGATCTAGAAAGCAACTAAGAGGCCATAGATAACTATGGATGAAAAGGGTGCTAATACCTTACCTTTTCATAATCTACCCCCCCCCCCCCCCCCCCCCGAACTCAAGAAATAATCTCAAAGGCCTTTCCTGTTCTTTTCATCCTTTCCTTTTGGATAAAAGAAAAGTCTGTGGCGACTCTTGATAATCGCAACATTTGCGATAAAACACAAAAACACCCAAGTCAGTTCTCCCACCGTATCACACAAGCTTTTAAAGAAGTGTTGGCCCTTATCATCTATGGGATGGTACTATTTCCTAATCCGGACCAACTCATAGATGTGAATGCGGTCAAGGTTTTTCTGTCTCATAATCTGGTGCCTACTTTACTTGGAGACATCCCACACTCCCTGCATACTGTCATACCCCAATTTTTGACCTAAGATCCCACCTCCCATCTGTGTCATTACATAGCAAGTGTTCACAAATAATTTGACCTATTTTTGCCATTTTTCGAGTCAGATTTCAAAAATTCATAACTTCTTCAAATTTCGACATTTATAGTGGTTCTTTTACATATGATTCTCCTTGACAACGTCCACGACTTTTTTTTACAAGTCAAGAGCTGATTATTTTTGAAATGCCACGAAAGAATGAAAATGTTAGAAGTCGCTTTATGAATTTAATGAAATTTGATAATGTCTTGTCCAACCTTTACCAAATCGTGCATAGCGCATGTTTTTTCGTCTTTTATTTATCATTTTTGTCTTATTTGAAAAAAATCTAAAAAAATATGTATTTTAGCTCATGTCACTTTTTACTATCGCATTATTAGAAAAATCACAAAAATATTTATAATTAGCATTATAGTATTTTAAATTCGCAATTCTTAATTCAAAAAAAAAAATAATATCAAAAAATATTATAATTTTATCGGTTTCATTTAGATTTTTATTTTAGTATAGATTTCAATCCAAAAAATCTCAAAAATATAGTTAATATCTTTTCCTTTATTTTACATTTTTTTTTTATTCTTTTTGGTCATTATAGTTTTAGCTTCTTTTAATCCAATATTAATTTTGATTTGATTCTAATTTTAATTCAATTTTTAAAATTGAATTAATATTAAAATTAAAATAAAATTAATTTTGTTTGCATCTTATTTTTATTATTATTATTCTTCTGTTTTGTATTACTAACAAATTGCCTTTTATCATTATTATTACTATTGTATTTGTTTTATTGTTTTATGTCCAATAAAGTTGTGGTCCCAAAACCAGATTTTTTGAACTTGCAAAACCAGTCATGTTACCTGCATAAAACTTGTCCAACAATTGCATTAAAATAGAAAAACAATTTCCTGCATTGGAAAGGCACTAAACCAGTGCATCAATTTGGTTTTTCATTTCAAAATCTTGGCTCCAAATTTCTCTCTCAAGAGTTGAATCCTTACTATATAATAGACATCTCATAACAAGGAAAAGGGGGGTAACGGGAAGGGGTAGAAGCTGCGCTCAAGAGAGATCGAGGAATGATAAAAAAAACCGCTTCTCTTCATCTTTCTCAAGCTTCTGAATCCACTTCCCCTTTATGATTTCATCACCAATACAACCTCCTCTGGAGCCACATACTTTCCGCGAGCTTCATAACTGCTCATCACTATCACCGTTAAACCTATTGCTGTTCAACATCCCTCAATCTCAGCAATACACCCTCCGTCAATTCCTTCATCTCCCAACTTTCATCGTTTCACTACCCCCCCCCCCCCAGCTAACAATCAGCTTCATCCGTAAATCAGAACCCCTTCTTTCTCCTTAACAACAACACCAACGAACCTGCTGTCCGTCCCAATTTCTGTTACCAAAACTGATACTCCCTTCGTCGAACAACTTGCCATCGTATCCATTCTTCTTCCAATCATCACCTTGCCACAACAATCTCAGCTGTTAACCCTCAAATCTCTTTCATCTCCGCCGGCCAAACATCCATACCCCACAGCGTAACCTCCCTTTGTCCGCAGCAATCTCTTCATCACACAACAAAACTTTATCACCATCTTTACCAGTTCACATAACTTCCGCAAGCATTTCTGTTCAACTGCTTCCGCCGTTTTCCAGCCTCTCAAACTAATCACGGTACCAATAGCCATCCTTCACTAAACACCATAAACATTTCATACCACACCTACAAAATTCTCAACACAATGATTCAAAATTTTAAACCAATAACATAGTTCCCATCAAAACAACACTATAATAGTAAGGAGGAAAAGGATACCAGAGATTGAATCATTGTTGTAACAAAGAAAACTCGTGAAAGCTTCCGAGACAACCATTGTTGCACCTTCGAAAAATCGACGGTAACTTCTCCCAAACACAACTCCCAGCTAGCGCCGCAACCGATTGGAGCCAGCCCCTCTGTGAGTGGTAGAACCTCAACCGTCTGAGCTCAGATCGCGATTACCCTCTGCTACTCCGCCGATCTGCATCTCCATCGTACATCCAAGCTATATTCGGCCACCACTTCATCAATCGATTTTCCATCAGATCCGACAGGTAATTTTGTTTCTTTCCTTGATTATATTTTTTGTTGTTGTGTGTATTTATATGCCATTGAATAAAATGGTGTGTATGGGTTTTGGTTGTGTTTCCATGGAGTAAAAAAAAGAATAAAAATGGGGAAGAAGAAGTTAATGAGAAGGAATGTGTCTCTCGGTGTGTGTTAATGTATTGTTAATATGATATATCTTTTAGTTTATTCATTTTAATCTTGATCTTTTCCACTTGTTAATTTATTATTGGTCCTCTATGATAATTGGAAAAAAAAGGTATAAAAAGAAACTTTGTAAATGGGTGATGCTGAAAGAGGCACCCCTGTATCGTTCCCGTGTGCATTTTTTTCATTTAATTTTAGATTTTGTACATTGCATTAGTTACATTATTTATCGTTATGTTTCAAAGAAAATCAACTCATTCCATGGCCAATCATCTATTTTAACAATTTTCATTAATACCAATCATTTCAATATATTTCTAACCTCACTCATGAAATAATCACCTTTTTTAGTCATATTTAGTTATCATTAATCTTTGTTATTAGGATTGTTACCTGAGTTATTTAGAATTAGGTTGTTAACCAATTTAGTTTATTTGTTATAATAACATACAAAACGCAAAAAGATAAAAAATATACTTTTTGTTTATTAAGTTATTTAGTTTGTTATATTTAATCTTTTATTTTATTTAATAATTACCATTATAAAAATACATGAACATTAATAATACAAAATTCCAAAAAGATATTAGTTTTATTAGGTAAATAATTAACGTTGTCTATATTTTTAGGGTTTCTCCTGATTAATTAATTTGTAAGTAAATTCACATGTATATAAATTACTAATTATTAACTAAAAATCAAAAAAATAATAAAAACTATTATTTTCTCATCTCTCTAATTTTTTTTGCAAACAATCAATTTTAGCCTTAACACAGATATTTCAAAAGGTTCCTGCGGAGTACCGCAGATGCATTGGGTGCTAATACCTTCCTATTGCATAACCAACCCCCGAACTCTCAATCTATTTTCAAAAACGCATTGTATTACTTTTTATTTTACATTGCATGTTTTTTTAGGGTTTTATTTCGCTCTTTTCCCTTTTCCCTTGGAAATAATAAAGCGCGGTGGCGACTCTTGCTTTTGTGAGTCAAGTTAATTAATAGCTTGATCTCTGATTTTCACCGCTACAGAATTGGCGACTCTGCTGGGGAAAGATTGACCTCTTGCTGGTCCATCCCTAAGTGGGTTAAGCCTAATTTGTTTTATCTGTTTTATCATTATTTGATTGTTTGATTATATGTATATATTATGATTATTTGGGTGTTGATAATATTTACAAAGGACAAGTCCTATACCCGGACTAAGTTACACTTAGGAATAGGACGGGCGGTATAGTCATGTTAACTTTGAGGGAGTAATCCCGAAGAAGGAGGCATGAGATCCCCCACTCAGTGGAAGGCCCTTTTGAACGTAATATTTGTTTACCGAGTAATCGGGAAGACATTATTATTTTCGACCTGGGAGCCAGAGAAGCTGGGAACCGTAGAACCCTAACCCATCTTGGCCTTTTAGGTGTAGCGCGGAGATTATAACAGAGTAATCCGGAAGTAATTGTTACGCGATGCTACGCTCGGATGAGTTTCTCTTGAGAATATTGCTGATTATTGAGTAATCAAGACGTTGGTAATATCCGAAGGAGGAATGTAGACTCCGGGAACTCTTAGAACCTTGTTCTACAGGTGTGATTAAACCGTTAGTACATACCTTGGGGGTGTTCCTTACCTTGACTCCATGCTCGTGACGTTGAACCTTTCGACTTTATTTGTGACCTTGCTTGTGGTTGTTGCATAGCCATGCATTCATGCATCCATAAAACCATTTTCACTTGACTTTGAAGGAATTTGGAGGTCTTTCTTTGTAAACATCACAAGTTTCGTCAAGCTCAATGGATCTTGGGTGTTGATAGGGCGAAAACCCTAATCCACCAAAATGGATGATTGATCTTGATGATAACTTGATCAATGTTTGGAGCCAATTTAAAATTCATCTTCTATCTTCATACTTTGATGTTTACAACTTAATATCTTGAGTTCCTTGAAAATAAAATAAAAACTCTCTTTTGCATATCATACATCATTCTACATTTTTTGTTTCACTTTCAAAAGTCTTTTTCCGAGTCTTATTTTTCCTTTGGTCTCACCAGTACAACACTCACGCTAAGAGAACAATGGAGAATATCAAGCAAGAGGTTTCTGAACTCCGTAGAGAGATGACTATTTTGAAAGCTGGTATGGATCACTCAACTGTTTTGGTTGAAATTTTGGTTGTTGCCCAAGTCAATCCTTCTAAGAAGGAGGAAGCGATGATAAAAGTATTCACTGATTGTCATTCAAGGACATTGGTTTTGAAGTTCAAATCAAGCACGTGCCGAAGAGTAAACACGATTGATGGTCACTTTGAGTTTTGAAGGATGTTTTCGGTGATTCAAGTCCAGATGGAAAGCCTTCCCCGATCATTAACTTATTTCTGCTTGTTGCAATTTTTCTTGTTTATCAAAACATTGTTTGCATGTAAGAACTTGTTTGCATTTGAATGATTATCTTAATACAATGAGCATGTTTGTCTTGAAGAAATTCATTTGTTTCACACATATTTGTTTTCAAATTCTAAATCGCTTTTGCGTTATGATACCAACTTGTTGCCCATTCTCTTACCTAGGCAGAGATTGAAGGGAGGATGATGATCTAAAGAACACAAAATCTCTGATTGCATGCTTTTGGATAAAATCTTGCTGATGATGTACAGGCATTGTTTCAAATCCCTAAACACTGGAGATATAAGGAAGATAATCCCTTGCTAACCTCTTTTGAGCCTTGAAGTAGGAGTTTCTTTTCTATACGAAAAAACCTTGAATTTTAACCTGGGGCAGGGTAGTTTTCAGTTAATCCGATTGAGTGTTCAAAATTCATAAGGAAGATATTTCTGAAGAGAAACTGCGAGGGCCATCCTTCATGTATAATGAAGCCAGAAGATGTGGAACCACAATGTTATCCCTCATTCATCAAGAAACGAGGCAGTCGCAATCCTCTCAACTAGTAAAGACAAGCTAATGTCACACATTTTGTTCAAAAAGTCAAAAATCAAGAAAAAGAAAAAGCCTGCTAAGTCAAAAACATGAAAACTTACGACTTAGGCAAAAACTAAGGCATCCCGCTGGACTATCAATTCAAAAGAATTAGTTCATGCAAAAGTTAGGGAAAATAAAAATTGCAAAGAAAGGACTACAAAGAAAATTCCTCAGCAAAGAACAAATTGGTGACTACAAACACGAAGACATGAGGGTGGTTTCTACTCCGAAAGCCTCGTCGTTTCCTTAACTGTCACAAAATCCTTTTGAGAGATGAACACTCATATTGAATTAACTGAACATAGGACTGAATAACATCATGAAGAATGGGCGGGCACTTATAAATTTTGAGCCTTAAAAACCTTTTTTCTAAAAAACCATGAACCAGACCACGTTACAACCTTCAAAAGTCCTAATTGAAGCAAGGTTATTTTGAAAGCATACTTCAATGAGATAGTGTTCTTGACTCCCATGAATGTTCATGTTGGTATCATATGTTTTTCCTACACAAAAATAAATGGTGCTCTAACTCGCAAAATTTGTGCGATATCTTTTCAAAATCTTCAAGACTTACATAACTGTTGCATTAGAATTTTAATTCTCATAATAAACTTTTTCTAACTGCAAAACATTTGTTTGATATCAAGGAAGCTCACATATAAGCACTAGTGATGAGTTTATTCTTTTAAGGCCTGAAACTATGATTGAGTAATTGGAGTATCATTTTAAGAAAAAAAATCATATCAGGGGGCATGTCACATGAAAACCTTAAGCACAGACATGTTGCTTCTCCTAGTTAATGCTTTTCCCAACTTGTTTACTCTTTTGGGGCAAAATTTTAAGACTTTGTTGTGCCAACTACAGTCAATCCGGGGCAATCACATTGAGATTTGATGAATCTCTCTAAGAGTTTGAAGACACCAGAGCATAGTGAATGCCAGGTCTTTTGTAAAATCCTCTTGAGACGATTTCTCCTTATCAACCATATAGCTTGGGGCATTTTAGAAGTGAAGTTATTCGCAAGAATTGTCGTGCAACATGCAGCTTATCAGCAGTAAACTTGGGGCATCCAAATTAGTCCCA